TCTGTCCAATTTATACTTGACTCTCTGGACAGAAGGAAAGTGCACATGCTTTTAACCCAAATCTACAGTTATTGCAGGGACTCAAAGATGTGAATCCACCTCTGCTGTTTTACAGATACTCATCAGCTGCTTTGTCTACAATATGGATTTCAGTGTAGATTGGTAATACTAATGTATCTAAAACTTTTATGTTATTTTGTAATATAATTAATATAGGTCTCAGAGGATTAAAAGAGTCATAAAACTTGGGTCCACTTCATAGAGGTCAGAAGAACCCCAGAAAAGTAGAGCTTAAATTTTCCCCACTTGTCTATTCCTAAAGATGATATTTTTTTCTCCCTCCTGGTCTTGGGACTCCTGCTCTTTCCAATTACTAAAAATATAGGCCTAAAAATTCCAAATAAATTCATAAATTTTAACTTCTGTTCTTAGCTTAAATTTGTCTCAACAGGTTCCCACTTGACTGGCAGACATCTCCAAGCTTCAGTTGTTGACTACACTGCTCTGGATGACTATGACTTGCTAAAAGCTGACATGGACCAACCCAGTCAATGTGATTGTTCCTTGTCTCTACAGATGTGTCAGATAGCCACATGCTTCTGACAAATGGCCCATCGTCCAGCCTTTGACTACTCTTTAAGTGTTTTGGGGGCCCTGACTACAATATCCCAATGCCAGCTTGAAGTAGTTCCAGAAGTGGATACAATGTCCCATGTTCTCTGCCCAAAATAGGTTGAAGAGCTAGGTCAAAAGGAAGCTTCCTAGCATAGGGGCAAGTTGGCCAACTATAATGCTCATTGACATACCAGGAAAATAGGTTCAGAGTTGCAAATTGATAAATTTATTAATTAAAATGGTTCTGCAATAAGATAAGACACTTGACTTTTTTGTGTGCAGAACCAAAGAGGTATTAGATAAGATCATAACATTGTTGTATTCAAAGATCAGAACTACAGGGCCTTAAGAATGGCAATAGATACAGATGTTGCTGCCCTAGAAAAATCTGTTAGCTAATGGTTCTTAGGTCCCAACATCCTTGAACCCCTGGACAGGTAGGATTCATGATTGACTCCTGTCATTGGTACTTGTCAAGGGAGGAATGTGGAGGCAATATGAAGGCCTAGACTTGACTTTGCATACTCCATCTTAGGGAAGAGCTACCATCTTAGACCGCCTGGTTACTGGGGGCTGTACTCAGTTCCAGGAAGAACCTGAGGAATGTGCCATGACAACAAAACTCAATCTGATATCCTAGAAGCAGCCAATTAGTTTCAAATGTGGTTTCACACCAAAAGTCTAGACCAATAGTTTCAAAAATTCACACTGCCCCAATCCCTTCACCTAATCCCAAAATGCCAAGGCATGTAATTCCTGGCTGGCAGTTTTTCCCTTTAAACTGTCCTACCCTTGAACCCACCACTGCTACTACATTTTCCTCCATCTGTGAGGTGGCAGTCCAGGTTTGAACCTGACAAGAAAAAGACCCCACTATGCTTCCATCAGAACCCAGCTCCTTGGTGGTCTCTGGGGGGTTTGTGACACAGGTACAACAATTGTATCATCTCCATCATGATTGTGTGTGGTGAAAGTTTAGTTTTGACACTAACAGTGAACCTTTGCTCCTCTTTGTCTCTCTGTGAGTTACAGTAAAATCTGGGGAGGCTGAAGGAATGTGACAGAGTTTTAAAGCCAGGGTGTCCAACCTTCTGATGCTTCTGGAAGAACCAACCTAGGCCATACATTCAATCCAAAATCACTAAAGGAAGTTGATAAGAATGAAAATGTATGTCAAAAAGACCCACATAATTCCAACTATGTGGCAGTCCCATGGGGAGTGTGTTACAACTCTCAAGCAGGTCCCAAGACTTAATCATATCTAAGTAGTATGACTTGATTTGTTGTTTTGATAGTTTGTTAGAGAAGTAAAAGAAAGGGGGCAACACAAAACAGTGGGAGGTTTGACTCTGCATATGAGAAGTGAATTCATCAGCACTCTGGGTGTTCCTCAGAGATCTGGCTTCTCGGTTCACTCTTCCTGTGCTTCCTTCATGCAACATTTATTAGGCAGGTCAGTGCTGCCCTGAAGCAATGATGTGAATGAGATGTGGGTGTGAGACAGGTGTTTTTATATCTGAAAGATCAGACCCATGAGTCTTGAATAGTCATGAGCAAAGTTTTCTTGAAGTCGATGTCGACAGAAATGGAATCACAAATATACCAAAGTACTATTGCCCCCCAAATCTTTAAATCTGTTTTCAAATTCTTGCATCAAATCAAAAACTAGACTACAGATTTTTCACTATGCAAGAGAGATATTTTGTCCAGTTTTAACAGAATTCTCAAAATTGTTTGCCTTACTTTTAACATTCATAATTTAAGTTTTTAGAATGTTGGTGTGATTTCAAACATTGTGTTGATAAGTTAGCTTTTACTTTGAAGATGCAAGTTTGACTCATTTAAATGAGCAGTTATAACCACTACAATGCTAAAGACTTTATTACAGAGATTCAGGGATGTCTTATATATAAGTTAATAAATGTTATAAAGCCTAGTAATGGGCTTACAGACAAAAAAAAAATCACAGGATCATTTCCATACTTGCAGAAAACTCCTTTGAAAAAAAATCAAGTGTGTATATAAGAAAGTAACAGAAAAGATATGAAATATATGAAAGGACAAAGAATTTTACTTGAGTATTTGTAGCTGAAAGTTTTCCTGTATCCAGCCTGGTCTATAGCAGCTCAGACCCAAGTAAACACACAGAGGCTTATATTAATTAAAACTGCCCAGACTCAGCCTTTCTATTGCTCATAACCACCTGACTTCCATCAAACTTTGGGTGTTATATAGATGAGTGGAGGTGGAGGAGATCCTGAAGTTGAGGCTCCTGCTGGAAGAAAGGGCAGCTGGGGCAGGTTTAGGATGCTGAGAGTTCCTGATGAATCCTGGCAAATTCAGTCCTGTTCCATATGGAAAGTGTGATGCAATTTCTTACAGAGAGGCTTTTGCACCCTGTAACACATAGAAAATAATCCTTTCATGGCAATTTAGACAGGAATCTAGAAATCTTAGATCTATGAGTATAGCAGAACGTCACTAGGCATCATTACTTTGATTTTTCTCTACTGTCATGCTTGGTTCTGTACTAGGTCTCTGGGTCATCCAGCCTCTGGGTCCTGGCACTCCAGGCAGTGTCGGGGGCGGGGGCTCACTCTCTTGGCATGGGACTGAGGCTGGACCATTGGTTGGCCACTCCCACAATCTCTATGTCACCCTTACCTCAGCACATCCCACAGTCAGAACACAATGTAGGTCTAAGGTGATGTAGCTCACTTGGGGTCCAGACACCTCCACTGGAAGTCTTGCCTGGTCACAGGAAGTTGCCAATTCAGTGTAGGTATCCACTATTGCCGGGAATGTTAGCTGGGGTCATCCTTGTAGATTCCTGGGAATTTCCTTTGCACCAGGTTTCTACTGACCCTGAAATACCCCCTTCCCCATTGGTTCTTTCAGTACTCTCCCCCAAACCACCCCACCTGATTCCCGACCCCACCCCCACCTTAATTTGAGATACTTTACAGCCAGTTTTTTTGTAACTGTTAATCTTAGACTTTAGAAACAAATATCATACATATTATTTTTAAGTCTTATCCTTAACTACATTAAGTGCCTTACACCTTTTTAGCTTATAAAAACCTTTTAGTTTTTCATTCTATAACCATATATCCATATAATCTTTATACATCAATCTTTTTTTTTTTTTTTTTTTTTTTGGTTTTTTCGAGACAGGGTTTCTCTGTGTAGCTTTGCGCCTCTCCTGGAACTCACTTGGTAGCCCAGGCTGGCCTCGAACTCACAGAGATCCGCCTGGCTCTGCCTCCCGAGTGCTGGGATTAAAGGCGTGCGCCACCACCGCCCGGCTTATACATCAATCTTTATTCATTAAGTAATTTGTATCATTTTATAATACATTTTACTGTTTTAATGCCGTGTCACATGTTTATCACATTTTTTATTTTTAAAACCAAAACAATGTACATAGATATCCTATTATTTTTAAAACATGATTGTTTGGGAGGGCCTGTTCACCTCCTTTTATTGTGAAGGAGTATTAACATTTAAACAATTTTGTTGTGATTGTTTTAGGCTGCCATAGATGAAGGTAGAAAGAGAGTAGTTCAACTTAGAAGAGAAGTCCTGTATTGGATCTTTAAAGATCCATTTGATTATTAATAGACTTAAGGACACCACAGAGGTTAAAATATCTTCAAAACCTGTTTTTCTTTAATTTATTTTTTATATATGTACAGTGTTCTGCCTGCATGTATGACTGCATGCCGGAAGAGGGCACCAGATCTCATTACAGATGGCTGTGAGCCACCATGTGGTTGCTGGGAATTGAACTCAGGACCTCTGGAAGAACAGTCAGTGCTCTTAAACTCTGAGCCATCTCTCCAGCCCTAAAATCTGTTAAATGTCTGTATTTATGTATACATACACTGCCTCAACCAGATGTTTCATGAATATCTTTTGAGGAGAAGTTTCCATGTTTGAATCAAGATGCTAATTGGAATAGACCTCATCATCATCGGGTGAATTGCCTGCCTCTCAATCATCTTTTGGGCTACCAGGTCTCCTTCTGTATTGTTTGGCTCTTTGCTTTCTACATATTTGGTGAAGAGACGGGAACGTTTGTGGTTTGCCACAATCTGGACTTTGCTGTGGGTGTCCTGCCTGCTTTCCTGTCCCTGTGATTCCTAATGTATCTAAGAACACATGGGAAGCAGCACCGTACATCCACCAGGGGGCGCTGCCTCCCAAGAACCGGAAAGGTTAACAGGTCCTGGGGTCCTTCCCTTCACCAGTGGGGCAAAAAGTCGCTTACGTGACTACCTTTCCACCTGTACAATTTACAAAGAGAAGAAAAGGCCTGTCACCCTCTTTCACACCCTGCAGGGATGCTCACCTGGTCTCTTGCTGTCCTGTGTGTTCTTGCTGCTCTAGGCACTGGCTAGAAATACCAACATGGCAAGAAAAGCAGAAGCTGTAAGAGCAGAAGCAGAGCTGGTGGCTCCATCACTTTCCCTAGCTTGAGGTCCTGGAGAACACCAGAAAAGTTATAGTGATTGTACTCCACAGGGGCTTCCCGACCCTGCCTACCCCGATCCCCTCTTAGAGTGATGCTTGCCCCATTTACTCACCAAGGGCAGTAGTGACATCAATGTTCTTGCTGCGGTGCCTCAGGCGGCAGGTGAAGTGTGGTTCCTGTCCAGGAAGAACCCAAATAGACACCCAGGTCTGGAAGGTCCCATCTCCACTGGGAAGGATGGTCCCAGGGCCAAATGAATGCTGCTGTATTGGCCTCTCATTCTGAAGCCAGGCCAAGGTGGCCACAGGAGTATACAGATTAAAAACCCGGCACGTCAGGGTGATCCTGCCCACTGGGTATGGCCTTCTGGACACTGTCACCTTCGGGGGACCTGAGAGAAGATAAAGGGAGTCAGTGAGGTGAGGACCTTTCTATCTCTACATGGAGTGTAGCCTAGAAGAACCACCCCGTTCATATTTGCTTCCAGCCTCGCCTCCTTAGATGGCACAGCTCCCAGTGGGTATAGCACTGTGGGAGGCTGGGGCTCAGCTCCACTGGCCCCTGATGCTCTTGAGAGTCAGTCCCTTCTTTACATGCTGATGATGAGAGGACATGGTGTCCCTGCTGTCACGGGCCAGCAGTCCCTCTTTCCAGCACAGGTCACAGATGAACAACAGGCACTGAGAGGACAGAGGCTCAGTGCTTATAGGGGCCACAGATCAGACCGTGGTGGGCTGTGCCTCTTCTCTAGGACAAAGCCAGCTCCGCAGTCTCTAGGGGACAGGTGAGGGACTCTCCAAGTACAGTCAGCTGACTGTGGCCATGATTCTTTGTTCCTGGAGTTGGCCAAAAACTCCAGGAGCAAACAATCTTAGTTCTTCCTCCACTAATATCCCAGCACAACCTCTTATTTTCTGTTACAAGATCTATTCAAAACTTTAAACATCACATTTGAGATTCCAGACAGGTCCATTATCGTAACACTAGAAAGGTAGAGGCAGGTGGTGGATGAATGGAGTTGAGTGGCATTATGGGACTCTGTTTTCTAAAAAAGACAAAACTAAATAAAAAATTAAACTTGATCTTTTAAATATTTTAGAATTATTTACTTTATTTTATGTATATGAATGCTTTGCTTGCAAGAACGTACATGTACCAAGTGTAACCTAGTGCTTACAAAAGTCAGCCAATGGTATTGGATCCCCTAGAACTAAAGTGACAAATGATATTAAGCCCCCTCATGGATACTGGGCATTTACCCTGGGTCCTCTGCAAGAGCAACCAGTGCTCTTACCCACTGAGCCATCTGCCAAGCCCCAACTTGGGGGGGTGGGGATGGCAAAGACACAGGTTAGTAACAAAGCACGTCAGAGTGTGCCACCCCACTGCAGAACTGTGGTGGGTCACAGTCATCTCCTGCACACCTGCTGAAAGACAAGGCAGAGCTCAGTGGGGCTGAGGACCCCAAAGGCCTTTCCTGGTGAGAACCTGAGGGCAGGAACAACCAGTTATTATGAAGTATCACCCTGTGGATGTTTTCTCCAGCCTCCTTTCCCTGGGAGACAGGCCACCTGTGGTCAGATGAGTATGTGAGATTCACACACAGCTCCATTGGCCCTGACAATCTATAGGTATCAGCCCCCACCTACCTGGAGAACTTGAGAGCACATGAAAATCTCGCTGTCAGAGGCCAGCTGATCCGGCCTGTGATGCAGAAGACTTTGTAGACACTGATGGGACATGAGCTTCCCTGTTCTACAGGGACTGGACACCTGACCTCAGTGGACTGTAGCTCCTTATGCCACAGAAGAAAAGAAAGCCTGTTCTAAATGCTCTAAGGCACAGTGAGGGACCAGCCTTCCTAGGACAGGGAACTGACCGGGGTCCTGATGGTTTGCCTTAAGGCTTTAAGTCTTTCCCCTTGAAGATTCCTGGATGATCAGTGGTTTCTTCATCCTGACTGCCCTCTCACGACCCTGGGTTCTGTGGACACTCTTTTTGCGGGTCTCTGTGTACATGATGCCCAGCAGAGAGTGTCGATCCACAATAGGCGAGAAGGAAGTCTGGTTAAACACTGAGCAGTAGCCAGTGTTATTTCAAAGTTTGAGAGTCTGATCCCGGGTAGTTTGTTTTAAGTGTATAAAAAGATTCCTGGTGATATTAACTTAATCCTGTGTGCACAACGAAGCTTAGGACATGACTACATCAAAAGTCTTGTAAGGTACTAGTGACATCATCCATAAAAATAGATTCTGCCGGGCGGTGGTGGCGCACGCCTTTAATCCCAGCACTCGGGAGGCAGAGCCAGGCGGATCTCTGTGAGTTCGAGGCCAGCCTGGGCTACCAAGTGAGTTCCAGGAAAGGCGCAAAGCTACACAGAGAAACCCTGTCTCGAAAAACCAAAAAAAAAAAAAAAAAAAAAAAAAAACTGAAAAAAAAATAGATTCTATAGGTTAACTGAAGAAACAGGCTCAAGATAAACAAGTTCATGATGAAGATCTGGAGGAGAATAGTGTTGTAGATTGAATGAGTCAAACAAGATTAAGATAAGGGACTTGGGGAGCCTTTGTGCCCCGATCATACAGATTGCTCAAAGATCAGAAAGCTCTTACCCTTGTCTCGCTGCTCCCAGATTTCTGGGTGAAAAACATCTCTCCCTTTGAAGAGACAACCCTTTGTGTTCAACATTCTCCTGATTCCCAGATGCTTTTCAGTGAGCACAAGGCTTCCTACCGCTCTGTGTTTTTGACACAAGTTTAAATTGAAGAAGCAGCATTGAACTTGACCTTCCTTAACCAAGACCAGAACAAGAGCAAAATGACTTTGACCCATGACACAGAATAGGTTGTGAACCAGCTCCAGGTGCAGAAGTCTCCCATCTCAACTCCCCATCATGATGACCCCATCTAAGGGACAGAACTCCACACACCCAGTTGTCTCAGTTCTTCAAAGTGAACACCCCAGAAAGTGGGGGCAATGGAGTGAAATCTAAGATTACTGACATCTGGGGACTTATAACTATGCACTCATGTCAGAGACACCTGAGCTTCTCCACTTAAGGTGCATAACAGAGGCTCTGGAGGAGATTACTCACACTCCATCTCAGTGTCACCTTAGACTATGTGATGCTTGTCTAATTTAGTGAGAATCCAGTACCTCATAAGCACTGTGGCAAGATGCAGTTAGATTCAGTGAATGGACCCACCCACCCAAAGTTCAGTACCTGTATCCATCAACTCGTTCTCCAAATAAATCAAATATCTCTGTAGACGGTCAGGACATATGCTGTTTAGAATGGTCTTAACTTGATCCACGCTGGGGCCATGCCTCTCCCAGATTTTCTTAGATGAGTGTGCTGAAGGCACAGCCGCTTTCCACGTTTGGCTCTTCTGGTCAAAGGTGAGGAAGTCTTGCCCATCATAGCCCAAGCGCCAGAAGCTTCCAGTGTTGTTTCCTTGGGTTTCACAGCCAAAAGTTGCCTGAAGGGTGTGAATGCCTGGCCATACCAGGCAGAGACTTGTCACTTTATTTTTTAAGGACCTTATTTCCCTCTGGTCTTAAGGTGAGTTGGGCACATCCTATGACCTCTCAGGATTCAGGTCCTGCATCCCTCACAGAAGCATCACTAGTTTAATCACTCATCCCAGCTGTGTCCAACCCCCAACCCTGACTTTAGAGACCAGAATTGAATTGTGTGCTTCTGTCTCTGCCTACTCACCTCCATGCTGGCCCTTCTGGGTCATGACCTCAGTCAGCATCCTCCTGAGTTGCTCCTCCTTCTCCTGCATGTCCTCAGTCTCTCTTGTCCAGATCTCAGCTCCTCTATGTCCCTTGATCCTAGGCCCCCAGGGTTCTGCTCTTCTCCTGTAGCCATCATAGCGCAGGAAGAGCTCATTGTCAATGTATCCCTGGGCCCTGAATTGGGACTTCCTTGACGCCTCCAGAGACAAGGCCATGAGGTCATAGTGCAGAGTATGGGTTCCTGAGAGAGGAAGAGAAAGATGACACAATTAACAAGTTGATGGTTTTCACAGTCAGCTCTGCCTTGAGGAACTGAACTCAGACTGTACTGTGTTGCTGTGTGAGTGTGAGAAGCCAAGAGGAGTGTTTCGTTAGAGCATGAAAGTGAAAAGGAGTAGGAGAGTGAGAGAGTGAGAGTCAGAAAGACTGTAGTAGAGGGATATAAAATGGCCTTCTGGTGTCTGAGCGCCTTGGCACCATAAAGCCATGGTGCTCTGGGTGTCTTCTGCTGCCAGCCAGGGTCCTGGTGTTGTCTGGGCTGCTGCTGAGGGTCATGTGTGTGTCTGTGGCCCTACAGCAGCCAGGGCCTGATTCAATATTTGTGGTTCCTGTTGCAACCGAAGTCTGTGTGGTTTCCTGAGTCTGATCAGCCAACTGGAACCATGTTGGTGCCCAAGGACCATCCATGCTACAGCTGGCACCATGCAGATCTGAGTGGCCTGTACTGCTGCCAGTGTAATGGTGACAACCCAGCCAGAGCCGCAGCTGAGATGTGGCCCTACTGCAGTCAGGGTCTGTGATGATGTTCAAGACACCTGGTTACCATCAAAAATGTGGAAGCCTGAGTTCTAGGGCCCTGTTTGTGTCTTAGTGCCAGGCGTTGCTGGGGCCATGCCAGTCTGAGTGGACTGCCCTAACACCTGGGGCAATGGAGACATCTAGAACCAGCTACTGCTGAGGATCATGTCTGGGTCTATTGTCCAGCTGCACCTGGAGTCTGTGTTGATGTCTGTGTCCTTGTGACCTCAGGGAGCCATAGGAACCATAGATGATGAAATCAGAGGGCCAAGGTGAGCTGGCTCTGTCCTTGGCTGGGCCTGGGGAAACTGTTTCTGTCCCTTGCTGGACACTGAGCAAGAGAGCTGGTCCCAATCCTCCTGGGAAGGCTGGTCTTATATTTAGAAGACATGGCCTCACCCCTCACCACAGTTGAGGGAGAAATGACCCTAACGGTATGGGCACAGGGTATAGGGTAATTTGGCCAGCGAAAGAAACACACCCTGACCCTGAAATTAGAGACAGTGAAAGAAACACACTTGAGCCCTGAAAAGAAGCATATCCTCGCTCTGATAGCAGAGCCCAAGAAAACACTCTGTGGTCCTGAAACCAGTGCTAGTGAAAGAAACACACCCTGGCCCTGAAACCAGAGCCAAAGAAACACACCCTACCCGGTCCAACAAAGCAGAAAAACCAACCAATTCCTAAGCAGGAGATTCAGCCAATCTCTGAGCTTGTCCAAACAAAGGGATTGAAATCCGACCAATTCCCACCCTGAAATCTTTATCCTGGGGAAAAGAAGCCCTGTGTATGCTGTGTGCCTGTTCAGTTGGGAGCTGCCTTTTGCCACTGTGACAGAGGCAGCCTCTTTCCTGGATTCATCCCCCCTAATAAAACTGGAGTGGAGCTGGGCCAGAAGTAATAACTTTCTCTGGAGCAAGAGCAAACTGCTACATTTTTCCAGGGGGGAGCCTTAGCAGAGGGGAGCAGAGAAGTAACAATTTTCTCTGGGGCAGAGAAGCAATGCGCATCTCTACAGGGAAACTCTTAGCAGGGTGGAGTAAAGGTGAGCTGTAATGGCTCTCTTAGAGAGCAGCAGGATTTCTACATTCCTGTGGGGAAGCCATCCCCACTAGAACACAACCATAGGTATAGCCTCGCTTCTGACAGCCAGGATACCTCTCCCTTCAGAGCCATAGGCTCAGCCTGGCTTCAGAGAGCCAGGATACCTTTCTGTTCAGAGTTGTAACACTTAAAAGCACAGGCCTTTTTCTGATGGCCAGGATATCTTTCTCTTCAGAGTTGAAAACACTTATCTAAGAGACTGGCTCCTCCCTCTCACCTGAGGCTGGTGTCCCCAGTGACCCATCGCCCCAGTGACCCAGACTGATCAGCTCAGCTAGCAACCAGAACCATAGCTGGGTTTTGGGTTCATCCATCCTAACAACTACCCATTCTAGGATCTGCTGGAGCTTCTGAAGTGACTGGGCCTGTGGAATGATACCCACAGGATCTCCATGACTAAGGGCTGCTGTAGGATATCCCAGAGGAGTTTCAGTGGGGTTACAGTGATGAAGGTGTACCAGAAACCAGAGACTTTGAACCAGATCCATGATTCATTGCAATCAACATTTGCTAGTACAGCTGATTGGACAAAGGGGTATACTATGTGATTCAAAGTATTACAAGGGAATACTTCAAAAACCTCTACTCCATGATGTTGGAAAATCTAAAAAAATAAAAAATTACATTTTCTAGATTCAGGCAAACCATCAAAGTTAAACCATGAAGAGATCAACAGCCTAAACAGAACCATAATAAATGGAAGATTGAAATAGTAATGATAATCCTTCTGACCAAAAGAAAATGAACATACATACAAAGAAACATACGATAAAACAAACACATAGAGTCACAGTAGAATTCAACAGATTTTTAAAGATCTACAGCCAATCATTCTCAAATTATTAAACAGAGAGAGAGAGAGAGAGAGAGAGAGAGAGAGAGAGAGAGAGAGAGAGAGAGAGAGAGAGAGAGACCCATAAGGAGCATTCTCAAACTTGGTCTATACCAGTATCACTCTCATACCCAAACTGGGGAAAGACACAGCAAAATCCCCAAATCACAGACCAACATCCATAGAGAACTCACAGACAAAATCCTCAATGAAAGACTTGAAAACCAAATACAGGTACATTTTAAGAACATCTTCCACAATGATCAAGTTGGCTTTATTACAGAGATGCAGGGATGGTTTATCATACCTAAGTTAATAAGTGTTATAAATCCTAGTCGTGGGCTTACAGACAAAAAAAAATTCACAGGATCATTTCCATAGTTGCAGAAAATTCCTTTGAAAAAATCAAGTATGTATATTAAGAAAATAGCAGAAAAGATATGAAATATATGAATGGACAAAGAATTTTTCTTGAGTATTGAAATGAAGGAATAAGAAGCTAGAGCTAAGTGTAAGAGCATGCATGGGGCTGTGCATCCAGTCCCCGGGACCACAGTGAAAAAGCTATAGAGTATATAAGATGGGAATTTAACTGAAGAATCCTATAGCATCTGAAAGTTAGGACTCATGATGGGATTTGGGGCTGACCTGGGTGGATAAGCTCTATTATGGTGAGCAAATATATGGTGAGATATGAGAGAGAGAGAGAGAGAGAGAGAGAGAGAGAGAGAGAGAGAGAGAGAGAGAGAGAATGGTTCATGTCATATGGATACAGGCAGATTCAAAGAGGTGAAGGCAGTGAGTAGTGTGCAGAGGTCAGTGACCTGCTTGCCACCCAGGGCCATGGTGATATCTAGGCCTGAGCTGCCTGTAAGGGTCATGTCTGTGCCCAAGGCCCTGCTGCAGTCACGGTCATGACTGTGGTTCCTGTTACCACCAAAGCAGAGAGATAGGGTTGCAAGGGTTTGACCCACTCCTCACTGGCTGCAACGGTAGGAGAACTGGTCCTATCCCCCACCAGCTGTAGCACTGGAGAGAGCAGGTCCCTGCACCTCACCTGGGCATCACGACAGAGATGACTGTTGGCCAGGGAGTAGGTCAGCTGGCCCTGAGGGCATGAGAGTGGGAGAGTTGGTTCTGCCTCTCTCAACTGCCATGTGGTGGCATGGGCAAAGGAAAGATGCCCTCCCATGCTCACCCCTCACCACTTGGGGCCAGTGAGAGAGCTGACCCAGGCCCTCTCAAACTAGGGGGAGCAGGCCCTGCCCCTCTTCTGGGCAAGGCAATAGGGCTGACCCAGCTATTGGGGGTATGGGTGAGATACCTTAAGAAGGTAAACATGATAAACCTGGCCCCACCTCTCATCTGCAATATGGTGGTGTGGGCAAGGCAGAGAAGCCCCTATCCCAACCTCTTGCAGTCTGTGGCAGGTAGGAGAGCTGTCCCAGAGGTCATGAGGACCAGTGCACTGGCGTGACACTTCTCTCTGGCTGCAGCACTCAGGAGAGCAGGCCTTGCACCTTGCCTGGTCAACACAGTAGAGCCCCCCTCTTGGTGGGGGTCTGGTGTGGCAGCTCTGAGGGCATGAGTGTTGGAGAGATGGCCCCAGTACTAGCCTGTCATAGTGCAATCTGGGCAGAGAAGACATGCCTTCCCTTACTCCTCAACCCTTGCTGTCTGCAGCAGGCGACAGGGCTGGCTCCTGGGTCATGAGAGTACAAGAACTGGCCCTGATCCTCCGTGGCTGCAGCACTTGAAAGAGTGGTCCCTACACCTCTCCTAGGCAACATAGTAGAGCTGGCCTTGGTGGTGGTGGTGTTGGCAAGCCAGCTTGGAAGACATGAGATGGACAACAATGGGCCTGGCCCCCTTCTCCTTACTGTAGGGTGAGCTAGCCAGAGTGGAGCTGGAGAGGTCACCCTGGTGTCCAGGATTGTGGGATGACTCATCCCTAATAGTCTTGATGGCCAGCCTGCCCAAACAAGTAAAAAAGATACTTTCTGAGAGCCAACCTGGGTCTGCCTGATGGTCTTAGCAACAGCAGCTGAGACATGATATGGAGATGACCTGGACCAATGAGAGGCAGCCATGTCGCAGCAGCAGATTCATTTTCATCAGACCTTCCCCCAGGGTGGGGTGGAGGGTATATAAGGCTTGCCTCTTCCTGAATAAACTGAGCTTATTGTTTGGACATTCTCCCAGAGTCTGTGTCATTGACTCTGTGCCTACTTGGCCCCCGCCACCAAAGGGACAACAGCACAGGACCCTGCCACATCTGGTGCCCAAACCCAGGATATTTGGTACTTGAACAGGGTCTGTTTGTCTCCCTTTACTCATGTGCGGCGCTGGTTGAGCAGCCCCCTTGAGTGGTGTATTTTCGTGAGTAGGCCCCTCTACGTTGTGTGATTTCAGTCCCTTTAGCAGGTAAATGCTGGGACCCCCACTTTCTTCTTTCTGTTTGTCTTGTTTGTGAGTCTGTCTGTATGGCAAGGTGGCATATACTTTTGTTCAGGCTCACCTAGCATTTCCACATAAGGCTGGACCCTCAGGAAACAAA